GCTACCAGAAGAACAAAAACACTAACAAGGCACACTCACCACAGAAAGGTCAATCATCCAAAATCAAAAGGGCAACGTTTTCTTAAGTACAAAGTTAAGAAGGGATGTGAAGGTGGGTGGAATGCGAACAGGACCTACAGGGAGGAAGCAGGATAACTGTTGTTGCATGGAGGGGATTGTATATGTGGAGATGAAACAAAATGTAGGATTTGTTGAATGTAAAGCTGACAATCTTGTCTATAAGCATTTACTTAATTCACTATAAAAGGTTTTTTGTTTTTTTTAAGGCTTCTCAATGAAATGAATGAAGAATTAAATCATGTAGTAGGATTGCTAGAATGAGACAGGATTCAAAATCTAATTCTTGTCTTTCACTTTTTCAAAATAAGAACTAAGAAACCTTATCTCCATAAATAGTAGATGGAAAAGGAACTTTGGGTTAAAGTAATATTAAGTAATTCTTAACACTCTAAATTTATGTGCTAATAAATAATATAGTGATCCTTCATCAGCAAGTAGTTTTAACTGTCTGTCAGCTTTCAGTTCAATAAGGTCCTCTTACCTTAGCATAGTGGTTACAAATTGGGCTGCTAACCTAAAGGTCGGCAGTTCAAAACTACCAGCAGTTCTGCGGGAGGAAGATGAGACTTTCTGCTCCCACAAATATTTACAGCCTAAGAAACCCTGTGCAGGGTCACTATGAGTCGGAACCAACTCCACAGTACTTAACAACAACACATTTCTTTCAAAGAACTGACTTCAAAAGGATGTGTGTCCAGTGGTTAGTTTCATTCACTTCCTCAGCACCTATTTTGAATTCTCTTTTGTTGGGTACCATAGCATGTGGGAGAAGGGCCATAGAAAAAGAGGATGTTTAGACTTCAGGCACATATACAGACAAACCAAATGTACGAAAAAGAACAGAAGGAAACTGAGGACCAACTAACGTGTACATACTCCCGTTTAAAGACTGCTGCACTGCATCAGCACCATGCGACTTTCTCCAATTTCACTTCTCTTTTCCACTGTCCCATAGGTCATTGCTGCTGAGGGAGAAATGAATGCATCCAGAGCTCTGAAAGAAGCTTCTATAGTCATCACTGAATCTCCGGCAGCCCTTCAGCTCCGGTACCTTCAAACACTGACCACCATTGCTGCTGAGAAAAACTCAACCATTGTCTTCCCTCTGCCCATAGATATGCTGCAAGGCATCGTGGGGGCAAAACACTGAACCACAGCAGAGGCCAAGGCAGAGATGAGCTTTCCCCTGCAAAGGATGAAATAGGGGACCAAATTTGCCTTTAACCCAGAAGAGAGAGGAGGGCAGGGAAACTTGGACTTTCTCCCTCCCTTTCCTTTTTACAGATGTTGAGCAGGCTGTTTTAGAATGCATTGTTGTTGTTATGTGCCCTGGAGACGGGTCCAACTCATAGCGACCCTGTACAGGGTTTCCGAGGCTGTAAATCTTTACGGGAGCAGACCGCCTCATCTTTCTCGCGCGGAACTGCTGGTAGTTTCGAACTGCTGACCTTGCGATTCGCAGTCCAATTCGTAACCACTACGCTACCAGAGCTCCTATTACTAGTGATCATAAAAACAGATGAAAGAATTTTTAGCTTGTAAAGCATACTGAGAGAGAAATCGCATGATGGCTTATATAAGACATCTCTTACTCTTTAAAATATTGAAAAATTCTCATTTGTAGATCCTTAAGTGGTAGATCAAATCCCTTTTCTTCTGGCTTCCATTGAGCCATTCTGCGCCCTCTACCAGCATCCAGGCCAATGGTAGGAACAGAGGTTATAAACACCACTTGATGCCCCCAGGCTGCATAGATGCTTTGCAGAAAGCAATCACCTTCTACTAAAAGCTTCTCTAAACCATATGTGCCTTACTTCCATGAAACCTTAATTGACAGAAATGTCCTAAATGTCTATTTACTTTTTAAACTGAAATTATGTTTCAGAATAATCCTCACTTAAGGGTAGGCATTTTCTGGTTAAGACTCAACAAAAAATTTACTCTATCCCTTCAAACGTCTTCTTGTCTTCTAACATACTGTTATACAGGTCCTTTAGAAAATAATACATATATGTTTCTTTATATTTTACTTCTAAACTTTTTTTAATAAATGATTTTTCTGGGGTATGTCTTTCACATCAGCTAAATATTTTGTCCCAAAAGCACTTGTTTCTCACTCTTTCCTATTTTCATGTATCAGGTTTTGATTTTTTAAAACAAAGGTTTTTAGATTTCTACAAGCAATTGTTTGTAAACACATTTGGAAGCATAAGAATTAATATTGTTGTTGAGTGCCATCGAGTTGGTTCCGACCCATAGCGACCCTGTATAGGGTTTCCAAGGAGCGGCTGGTGAGCTTGAACCACCAACCTTGCAGTTCAAACCAACTTTGCAGTCCAGCACATTAACCCACAGCATCACACGACTCTTTAATATCTACAGAAAACCATTATATTTTTCTGACTGCACGCTATTAACTATTGTACACTGTAAAATGCCCTAGTTAACATTTAATTCATTAAATAATCAAGAATTCACAATATATTGGACACATAATATCAGGCTGTGAAGACAAGAGACCAGTAGGTAGCAGAGCACACCATCTATTGGTGGAGAAAAAGCCACTGACTTTCAGTTTTGCATATTTTTTCTCCCACTGTAAGGGCTGTTTTTTGTTTCTTTGTTTCTAGGGTTTTTTTCTTCTTGTATCGCACAACAGAATACAGCAATTGCAGCCACACAGCCCTATCACAGATGTAACCTCTACACCCCACCAGATGGGCAAGATCCAATACCAGCTGCTAAACATAAGAGCATCAATGACAACCAACATCTGTTGAAATTACTCTGAGCTGAACAGTACGAACAGTGAAGCTTATCTCCTGATCACACCTACCAAGAGGCAATTGTTACATGACTAAGAACACACCAATATACATTCGTCAACTTAATACAAGTATTACAACACCATAATGTCTAAAAAGCAGCAGAAAATTCTGTTCACATACAGAAACAACACAGACTAGAGCAAACAACTAAAAGAAAGAGCCAGAAAATCTTTTCAAGGAAGAAGAGGCACTGCAACTACCAGAGAAAGAATTCAGGAAAATGATAGTTTTTGTTGTTGTTAGGTGCCATCGAGTCAGAACTGACTTATAGTAACTCTATGCACAACAAAACGAAACACTGACTGGTTCTGTGTCAACCTCAAAATCATTGCTGTGTTTAAGCCCATTGCTGTTGCCACAGTGCCACAGTGCCACAGCTCACTAATGCCTAGAATATCAATGTTTGTGCATTTGATTTCATTTTTGACAATTCCCAATTTTCCTAGATTCATACTTTGTTCATTCCATGTTCCAATTACTAATGGATATTAACAGCTGTTTCTCTTCATTCTGAGGCTGCGGCCCATCAGCAAATGAAGGGCCCGCCTGTAGGATTTACTCCATTTGCATCATCACGGTCAACTCTACTTTAAGGAGGCAGGTCTTTTCCAGTCGCATTTTGAGTGCCTTCCAACCTGAGGGGATCATCTTCTGGCATTATATCTGACAATATTCTGGTGCTCTTCATCATGTTTCAGTATTCAATAATCTGGTGCTGACAGTGTGCCACTGCTATTCATAAGGTTTTCAGTGACAAAATATTTCAGAAATAGTCTCTCCTTCTTCCTAGTCTGTCTTCATCTGGAAGCCCAGCTGAAAACTGTCCACAGTGAGTGACCCTGCTGGTATTGAAAATACCCATGGCATAGCTTCCAGAATCTCAGCAACTCACAAGCCACCACAGTATGACAGACTGACAGACAAGTGGTGGAATGGTACATGGAGGGAATTGTAATCATTGCAATGAAATAAGATATGTTTTATTGAATGTAAAACTGTTAATATGAGCTGTAAACTTTCATTCAGTTCACATACAAACTTTAAAAAGACAATGATATATTATCTCTTAAAAAAAAAAGAGATAATATCTCACCAGCTGTTATCATGCTGGTTGCCTCCACTGCTCCACTAATCATTTTACGTGTATATCACAACCTTTTCAAAACTGTCAAAGCTCATTTGACTAGTAGAACTTTGCATCCTCATCACAGCGGGTCCTAAATTTTAGCTGTGAGCCATATTATCTAAGCTGAAATTCAATACAAGTGAAGAGAGTAAATGGGGTGTTTGAAACCACATTAGTCTGTGATTCTTTAAAATAGGAGTTCTATGCGGCACTGTGGGTTAATGCGCTTGACTGCAAAGTCAGTTTGAACTGCAAGATTGGCGGTTCAAGCACACCAGCCAATCCTTGGAAATCCTATACAGGGACATAATGAGTCAGAACCAACTCGATGGCACCTAACAACATGATGGATTGTACTGAGGCATATGCTCCCCTCTGGCACCATTGTTAACTTTATGGTGGTGGGGTTGTTAAGTGCTGTAGAGCTGGTGAGCTTGATCTGCCCACCTGGTACTTCAAGCCAACCTTGCAGTCCAGTGCATTAACCTGCAGCGCCACACCAGGACTCCACAAAAATTACAGCCTAGAAAACCCTATGGGGCAGTTTTGCTCTGTCATGTGAGTTGAAAATTCTCTCCACCACACCTTACAGCAATAGCAACAACACATCACTCTATCCCTTGGCTTTCTTTTGCCTGATAAGGAGGCTTTCTTGATTAGACACTGTTCTTGATTCTCTGTTCTTGATTAGACACTGAATTTTTTTACCCTGGATCACACTAGCCTGAGGATAAAAAAGGATCACAATATAGCTCATAAATCAATAAACTTCCAATTCTGTCTATAATTGCACTTCAAAAACTTGTTTCCCTATTGAAGAGCTCTCTAAATGCCCGACAGCTACCTCATGTGTGCTCTGCAGAATAATCCTCTTGGATATACTTGAGTTATGGTACTGGAGAAGAATATTAAACAATATTAAAAGTACCATGGACTGCTAGAAGAACATGTATTTTAGAAGCAGTACAGCCAGAATGGAGTCCTGATGTGGCACTGTGCGCTAATGTGTCTGACTGCAAAGTCATTGTTCGTTTGAACTGCAAGGTCGGTGGTTCAAGCTCACCAGCTGCTCCTTGGAAACCCTATACAGGGTTGCTTTGGGTTGGAATCGAGTTGACGGCACTTAAGAACAACAGCAACACAGCCAGGATGCTCCTAAGAACTTAGGATGACAAGACTTTGTCTCTCATACTCTGGAAATAGCATCAGGAGGGACCAGTCCCTGGTCAAGAACATCATGCTAGGTAAAGTGGAAAGTTTGTGAAAAAGTGTAAGACCCCTAATGAGATGGATTGGCATAATGACAGCAGCAATGCGGTCAAGCTTAACAGTTGTAAGGATGGTGCAATGTTTTGTTCTGTTGTGCATAAGGTCACTATGAGTCAGAGCTAACACCATAGCACCTAACAAGAAGTTTCCTGTTGAACTTGAAATTTGACCTCAGATAAGTTTTCCTCCCTTTCTGCCCTTCACTTTTCCTGGCCTGTAAAATGAGGAGGTTGTACTCCACTGTTTTGATTTCAGACCTTTTGAGAATGTTTTGAAAGTGACAGAACTTTGTCTTTGATAATTTAATATAGTGGCGTGCACACAATTTTAGAGGCTACACTGACCACCACACCAAGCAAGCTCCAAAACTTACAAACCACTGGGCTAGAAAATCTAGATTTTTCCCCCCCTCTAATTTCAAAGAGGGAACTAAGGAGAAGGCAAAGAGAACCAGGACATAGAGTGCCAGACACTGTACAAGGGACTTTAGACCCTTTTCATTTCATTTCCATTCCCAGTTGTTTGTATTCCCCAGTCCATGGGGAAGTCCCTGGATTATTTGGGGATCACTAATGACGTCTCTTAGGAGCTCTGGTAGCGTAGTGGTTACGACTCGGGCTGTGAACCGCAAGGTCAGCAGTTCGAAACTACCAGCTGCTCCGCGGGATAAAAATGAGGCTTTCTACTCCCGTAAAGATTTACACCCTCGGAAACCCTGTACAGGGTCGCTATGAGTCGGTTCTGACTCCATGGCACATAACAACAACAACAACAATGATGTCTCTTATTGTGATGCTGATCACATCTGCAGCAGCTGGAGGCTCAGATGAGGCAGAATTTGCCTGAAGGAGCCACCTTTCTAATAAAACCTCACCCTATTCATTCCACCTGTAGTCAGAAGAGTGACTACAAAAAGTGAGAAAGGAG